CCCAGGAGGAGGGATCATGGCTCTCTAAGGGACAAACAGCTTATGTACCTGATGTTATGGTAGGAGGACTATGCCTTTATTTAATCCAGCAGATCAGGGACTATTTACAGGTAACTGCTAGCTGCAAAACTGCCATGTCCGCCATGAACCACTGTATTTATAGATCCTGATGGTGGGATTATGGTTTAACCAAATCAACCATAAAAAAGAAATGTTCAGCAACCTGAAGAATACATAATAGATACATCATAACCAACTTTAGGAATTCTGCTATCAGCCTACTGTTGCACTATCTGCCTGAAGCAAGTTCCACAAACACAGGAATGACCTACTGTGTTGCGTAAAAAACATGCACTTTTTAAGCTGATCCTTAGAGCAGAATTCTGTTGAAGTGCAACATTTGCAAATCAAATAAGATTTCTGAGGATTTTAAAAGAAGATATGATAAAACTAAAAAGACTGGCTAATGTTACAAAAGGCATCAGTCCACATCAGGCAGACACCTTAAAAAGTAAAACTTTTAGCTCTCCTTGGTGTAGGTACGTCAAGAACACACTAAGTTAATTTTTTATTAATTTTTATATTTATAGTTTTATATCTTTTAATGTGTGTGTGTCATTAGCAAAAATGATAGTATTCTTCCATTTCATTACTCAGATAATTAGTATATAGGCTGAAAAGAACTAGGCTCAGCACTGATCTCTAAAGTACACAATTGATGAATTTAGCCAGTTTAGAATGTGTTCCATTTACCACTGCACTTTATTTTCTATCTTTTAACCCATTCTTTACCCAATGTAACAAATGGTTCCAAATAAACTGGGGAGTAGACTGAGACAGGGTATACATCGCTACCAGATGAAGCTTTTCATTAGATAAAGATTCCAGATACATAAAGAAAACCGCATTTAAACTGTATTAGGGCTCTGAGGACAAGCCAGGTAAGTGTGAGTAGGTTCCCTAGCCAACATTCCACTCCAGCTTTTCACCAGCTGGAGAAACAGATGGAAGTGCTGTTGGAGGAAAGATGGCAGTTTCTATGCATGCGCTCCTGTTTGTGAAAAAACTTTCTGTTTGCATTATGTACTCCTGGCAGAGAAGACTTCCTGTAGCCTCTTGCTGTGGAAAAAATAGGCATAGTTAAAAAAATACAATAAGCAAACAAAAATCCCAAAGACATTGACAGCTCAAAAGATACTGTAGTATGCTGAGCATTGTGGAATATGTAAACTCTGTGACATTTGAAGAGACAGTATGCTATTATTGTGATTGGAAAAGGTCTTTGTCTGCATTTTGGAGGAACTCAAAAAGCAGCCCATATACCTAATACTATCCTCTACTGGCCCAACAGTAGAGTGCAGGTCTCCAACAAGCTATTGCCAGTTAGCAAAAGGCAGATGGTGGGTCTAAAGTAATCCATGGAGAACCAGGTGGCAACTTAGGCAGCAGAGACCTTTTGTAAACAATGACACCCCATTATGATTAAGGACCCTTTTTACACTTTCTGGCAAGGGATGAATCGCCCATAGCATATTGGGTGGGCCTATTTATCTGGAGACTTTCAGACTATCTAGCCCCAGAGGATGTAGAGATCTAAAATAAGCTGAAAGCAAAAAGTCTGTGCCATCTAGTGGTTTTCACATCTGTGCAGGCCCAACTTCTACACACAAGTGGACATATCAGATGGAAAGCACCCCGTTCACAAAAACATGATCTAGTTCATCTTGTAAAGTAATGGTTGCAGTCAGGGATCTTTATAAGTCCTCAGATTGCAGTAAATTTCATAATGGACTGTGTTCTTAGGTCTCTGTATCAGTATGTTTTTGTGGTCATGGAATATGATATCCTGCTATCCTGAGTCTCTTTAAGTAATACCTCCCCCAAAGCGATAGCAAAATAGTTGCTCCACATGTTCTGTTACACAAGCATTGCTATAAAAGCCTGATGTATCAAAGGACTCATTTTATAGCTATGGTAATGAAGGTGTTGTGCAAACTGTTGAATACAAAACAATTATGTATAAATGTGCACTACAGATATAAGGGTTTGTTGAATGATGTAACAAAACCCTAAAGAATATTTTGAAGAGGGTAGTGGACAATAGTGGGAGAGAGACTAGGACTATTTGCTACTGTGCTATTAGAGGCATGCCTCAATCCCATATTAGTTTCTTTCTCTTTGAGTTGTATATGGTGGACATCCATAGGGCATGCTGGAGTTAGCTAAACTCATGTTAAAAAGTAAAATAGAACACATTTCTTTTATGGAAGACAGTATCATTGCAGTCGTGCCAATGGTTAGAGAACACATGCATCAGGCACTTAGAGCTGAAAGTCATGTTTACAAAGAAATTGCTAAAGTTATGACTTTAAACCCTGGAAAACATATGCATGTCCTAGTACCCCCCCTCTCCAAGTGGCACAAGATAATTAAAAATGTTGGAGAAATGGATTACAAAGTGTATCAACCTGATAAATAGAAATACAAGCAAATTTATCATGAAATCTTGATTATGCACTGGAAAGACAGAGAGCCTCTCTTAACAGCACTAGATTCCTGTAGTAAGATAACAAGAAGGATAAACAAGTTAAAGCATTATTAAAGGCATTTTTTTTGTTCTGGATAGAGTGGAGAGGGATTAGAACACTTGCAGATTGGTATTGGTGTCTGTGTCCCTGTAAAGCAGCCCATAGATGATTCAGTTTTTTTTTGTTGTTCATCCAGTGGGTTGAAGGAAAAAAGCTGACTCAAGTCCCCCATCCGCACATTCGAGGTGGGTGGGGGAATACTCCCCTCTGAGCTATTTTTATCAGAATACACTGATCAGTGATGCCAGCTATAGCCAGCAGAGCTGATCAAACAAGCTGATTGTACAGAAGTCCATCGGTAGATCAACGTCTGAACAACAACTGTCCCCATACATAGGTCAAAATTTGGCTGGTCCCTGCTGATCATTAGGATTTAGGGAGATTCCCCCTCTTTGTTAGTCTTGTTTATTGCTATCACTAAGATTGAAAGTAAACAAAAATTCCATTTTGGCAGTATTTTTTGTAGCCACTCAATAAACATACTGTACCCTGCCCCCCCCCAAAAAAAATCCTAAATTTGGGCTGTCACCAAAACAGGAATAAAAGTGGAGTCTTCCAATGGAGACAGCAGTTCCAATGACCCTGGTGACAACCAGGGATCCCCTCACTTTTGAGTGATTTCCTCTTATGTTCTATTCTAGCCATGGGTCAAGAAGTGAAGGGAAATCTCCTCAATGGGACATGGCAAAAAAACTGGCAGGGGTTATAACAACCCCGTCTTACTCTATCCAGTTAAGAAAAAAGTTTTGCCTTTAGTTTTACTTTAAGGGTAGCATACACACTATCAATAGCTCAAGAGCACTAGGTGAAATTTTTGAAATGAAACAAGTATGTTTTTCAAACCTACTATGGTGTCTTACTGTGATTAAAGTGTTGGAACCTTAAAAATTTAAAAATAAAAATGCACTTATCTGTCTCTTTAAGGTATTAATATGTGCTATTATATATAAGAAATGTATTTGTCCATTCAGTGCCCTCTTGTTAGTGAACTGACCTCGCTAAGCATGGAAGCTGATCCATGCTAGTTTGGTCAGTTTGTGTGCCCTGTCATCCTGTTCGGAGATACAGGTAACTGTACAAGTGCAATGTATCACAAAATCTGTACAAAATCTGCGCAAAGCAATAAATTGAGTGTGAAGAAGTAAATTATAAGTTCAAAACAATTGCTGACAGCAGCATCTGAACACAGCAACGCCTCAAAAATCAATAATAAATAGCAAGTTGTGCTGTCCCTTTAAATAATAGTGTCAATAATATAAAGTCTTTGCAAATCAGTAACAACAAATATGTCAGGGAAAAGAGTAATGAGTAGTTTTATCGAACTCCAGTGCATGACTATGAAAAACACTTAAAATACATAGAAAGTGACCATTAAAGTGTTACTAAACCCACAACAGTAAAATCAGTCTGTATATGCAGCAAAGCATGCTTGTTATACTCACTGTGGAACCTAAGGGGTAAAACCTCTGCATTGTATAAGAAGGCTGCTTGATCCTGACTTCTCTGATCCTCCCCTTCTTTCAGTGTTTTTTTCTTGTGAGGGTGAATGTGATCAGCACAGAGCCAATCAGCACTGTCCAGAGAGGTTGGGGGTTCCACATCCTTCTAGAGCAAAATGAAAACTTATCCTAAAAGTTTTAATATGTTTTCTGCTGGACACTGTTAGAAGTCACAAGACTGCTCTAACTGCTGTTGAGAAAAGGTATTTAGCAGTTTGTATTTACTAAAATAATTGCATTTCCATGTTCTGTGTACTGTGGGGGGGCAGATATAGTGAATGCAGGGTCAGGGGTTTAGTAACACTTTAACCGCTTCCCACCTGCCATATAAGGCAATGATGGGTGCAAGGCGGTTTCTCTCGTTCTGAGAGGACGTCATATGATGTCCTCCCACTCTAACCGCACATGCGCGGCTCCGGGAGCGCGCAGCGTGGTGATCGGTGGTGTGCTGTGTCCCTTGGACACAGCGGATCACCGATCAATAGAAAGAGCCGAAGATGTCGGCTCGGTCTTGTGATGAGCTGTGTCCAATCACAGCTGACCACATGTAAATAGGGAAATGCCGGTTATTAGCATTTCTCTCCACTCGAGCTGTCACGCTGACAGCTTGAGAGGAGAGGAGAGCCGGTGCCCTGATGATCAGTGAAGCCCCAGCAGTGCCACCTGTTAGTGTCCATCAATGCCAGCTGTCAGTAATGCCAGCTGTCAATGTCAGTACTCATCAGTGCGACCTGCCAGTGCCCATCAGTGCAATATCAATACCACATATCAGTGAATACCAGTGCACATCAATGCCACATATCAGTGCCCATCTGAGCTGTCTTTCAGTGCCACCTATCAGTGCTGCCAATCAGTGCCACCTATCAGTGCCAGTCAGTGCACCTATCAGTGCGCATCAGTGCCGCCTATCAGTGCCTGTCAGTGCTGCCTATCAGTGCCGCCTATCAGTGCCACCTATCAGTGCCATATAGGAGTGCTGCTTTTCAGTGCCCATCAGTGATGCCTGTCAATGCCCATCAGTGTCACCTACCAGTGCCTCCTCATCAGTGTCCATCAGTGCCACCTATCAGTGCCCATCACTGCAGCCTTATTAGCGCACATCAGTGAAGGAGAAAAATCACTTATTTACAAAATTTAAAACAAAAACTAAGAAAACGTTTTTTTTTTCAAAATTTTCAATTGTTTTTGGTTTGTTTAGCAAAAAATAAAAAGTCCAGAGGTGATTAAATACCACCAAAAGAAAGCTCTATCTGTCTCAAAAAATGATAAAAATTTCACCTTGGTACAGTGTTGCATGACAGCGCAATTGTCATTCAAAGTGTGACAACTCTGAAAGCTGAAAATTTGGGCAGGAAGGGGGTATAAGTGCCCTGTAGGCTAGTGGTTAAAAGTTGAGTGCACTATCATCCACAACAGTGCAAAACTTCAGTGTTTCCACCACCAAATGCACACAGACGCTTACCAGAAACTAAGACCTCGAGAAACAAGAAAGCTTAATTATACCAGGGCACTCCAGAGGTAGTTCAAACACTGTCTCTACCACCCGTAGCTCCAATAAGATCAATACAGATGGTATCCAACATGAGGAATTTCATAGTGCCACATGTAAACATCCCATTTATTTAAAAAGAAGAAAGGTATTCACATACTGTATGAAAGCAGAGAAAACAGCATATTCAGCCCGAGCAGCTGCGATGATGTCATCACTAAGCTCAGCCTGCCTGTATCTTCCGTGGTCAGTGTAAAGCCACACCCCCCCACCCATCCCTCCTTCCTTGATTGAGGGTGATGGACTGACAGCTAGCAAGTCAGTAGCCTCTTTGTGAATGCCCCGATAAGTACACAGCCACAATCTGGACCATGAATCGCTCAGGATGGTAGAGTGATCATGTTACCTGAAATGTACAAGCTGAAAAAGAAATCTAATTTAAAAATGTATATAGAATTAATGAACTTCACAACTACTTTAAAGGATGAGATCACCTTTGGGAACATGTTACATGTTTTTAGGGTGGAACATGTAACATGTTCCCACTCCCAGAGCCTCTGCCCGCTCCACTTTGTCTAGTAACAGCTAATGGGGGATCTTCTCCCTCCCCCCCTTTAGCTGTCACTATTTACAAAAAAAATGTGGCCGTACAGGGCTCTGCATGCCCAGCCACGTCATTCATTCACAGAATTCTGTAAATATAAATCTACAAGTTCCGATAGCCTTTGGGGTTATCGGCTCGTAGTTCTCAATGAACTACCACGGCACTGTTGAGCACTTTGGTAGTTCATTGTGTCTTCCTGTCAGTGTGTATCTGCCTGCCCTGATAAAGTATGAGCACACAGATACACTGACAAGTCTGCAGGAGCCCTGCATCTGCTTATCAATCTTAGGTTCCAAGTAGAAAAAAATAATAAATGCACATTTTCTTACCTGCAAAAAGATGTGCATTTTTAATTTTTTTTTTACAAAGGTGAACTCATCCTTTAAACATGATGTCATTACAGACTCTCACATATGTGTTTATCTAAAGCCCTGTTAGATGTATGATACCTGTAAACAGTTTGTTACGGGGAAGTTATAAGAATGCTGGACCAATGTGTAAGAGTGGAGTCAAAATGTTATTGCCACATAGTATTGTTCCCCAGCTGGATACTTCATTCACATTCTACCATGATTTTGAGATATTGGGCCCTGAGAGATCTGTAACCACCCTTCATCTCAGCAGAAGATATTTGTAGGTGTCTGTGACAAAAGAGATGTCATGGTAACTACTGTGACTGTGACTTTAGGAGAGGACTGCAGGTTAGCCTCTTGCCTACTGACTATGGGCCCTGGCATTTGAGGGGGTTCTATTCTTTGGGAGATGTGTGCCTGGGGTAATGTTAGAGCAGTTATACTTTGGATTGAAGTCCATGTCTCCCCAAAACACACTGAGAACCAGAGAACTCAGATACAGATTTGGGGCCTCTGTGTTCTGTTAGGGCATAGACAGCCCAAACCAGCATTGACTGCTTTAACCCCCTCCTAGACTCAGAGGCTCAAAGCAGATGATTATAATCTGATCAAAACAACCTGATGCCAGGGTATCCTGCTGAAATCTGTTTCTTAAGGTGTCATGTGTTTACTGTTTTTCTCCCATTGTGTGCCTCCTAGGTGTGCATTCCCATTGTTAATTGAGTTAAATGAGTCACCTAATGTTTCTGTCTGTCTACTAATCCTCTTGTAGATGTAATTAGTATTGTGTTAACTTTACCTTGTTACCTAACCACTGTGGGATGTTTATATGTTTGTGTTTATGTTAAATGTTATGTAATATTTGTTTTTATTGTTCATGTGGGGACTGTCCTTATTTTTGAAATGTATAAAAAACCTGTATTTCTGTTCAATAAAAAAAGAGTTCCTGTTTGCACCTAAGCTAGTTTTGTCAAGTTCTTGGGTGCAATTCCCAGCTATAATACTTTGTTCCTGTGTTCCAGCAGCAAGGAAGCAGTTCTCTGACGGAGGCACCCAGGCAGGCTGACAGGCAGTCCGTCACATGAGGAAACAGAGTAAACAGCATTTTCTACCTGTGAGGAACTTTTTTAATATGTCTGAATCCTTTTTGGGCTCCAAGGAGCTCCAGCCCATTTCAGAGAATGATGGATGATGTTCCTAAACCACATGGAATTTTACCACTGTTTACCTGGAAAATGTGGTAGTCTTGGTGTGATTGAGAAAGTAATTTACCCAGGGTACAGGCCATGTCAAATTCTGTTCCTAAGGCTAGGTAACGGTGAACTCAAAGAAATAAACTACAGGCTTGCAGGAATCTTGCTACCTTGGTAAACCATAGGACAAGGCATAATTACGCCCAAAATTCACAATGTAGAGTCAGCCAGGGACTGGACCTAGTCAATATCACATGAAAAGCTTCAAACTTTCCTGGGCATAATGGAATACTTTAGTAGGTTTGTTCAGAATGTTGCCACTATAGCTGGACAGACGTGACCAGAACAAAAAACTGTAGGTTGTCAAGTGGGGTCCTGATGCAGAGAAAGCATTTCATGACATGAAGTTAGCTATATGTGAACACTCCATGCTCACAGCTCCTAGTGCTAGAGAAAAGTTTGTTGTTCACACCAATGCCTCTAACGTGGAACTGTTTTGTCACTGGTGGTCAATGGGAAGGAGAATCTGGTGACATAACTAAGCAGGAAGATGACAATTGCCAAGTAAAAGTATTGTTTAATTGGGCAATTAGGTGTCTGTGAATCAAGTGAGCATTGAAGGCTTTTTGGTACTCCCTGCAGGGTCATTGTTCCAATTCTTTGGGGGAGTATCAGATTTCTGGTTCTCCACTGCGCTCAAAGGTTCCCCATTTCAGCCCTATATCAGGGGGTGGTGGGGAGAACCATACACAAGCATTGAGGAAGTAGAAAATCACTCCTTTAGAAGTTTTGGCTTCTGCATATTCCTCACTTTTCATTTCTCTACAATACTGATCAGCAGCATTAAGGAGGAGGGAAAAGCTGGGTGAGGTAGGTATTTACTATATTTATTTAAGTAATAGTTCTATGAAATGAGCAGTTTGTCAGTGGGGTTTGCCTTGTGTTGCTCACTCACTGTTGTGAGTGAGCAACACCAGACTCTTCTCTTTATTGCTGATTTCCCTCACCATATAAAAATATTAAAATAAGAGCTAAAAAGTGTGCAATTCTCAAAAAATGGTGAAAGTAAAGGATGTCCAAATAACTGTATACAATATACTCCTCACTGCAGTTCCTTTTCTTTATATCTTGCATAAAAAAGTGAGATGTTACTTCCCTCATACCACTAATACCTGTATAATGGGAAAGGAAGCCTGATATCCTTGAGCCATGCATGTTTGTGTGGAGATGTCTCATAGCTTTCTCCTGTATGGATTATTCAGTGTTTATCAAATAGAGAGATACAAAGTAACATTGTTACTTTAGTGTATATCAGAGGCCGGCAACCCCCGGCTTGTGTGGCAAACATGGCAGACTGCCCTGCTGACCACTATACAGTACCCTGCTGACCCCATTCTCTGCCCTGTTAACCCCGGTCCTCTGCACAGCTAATCACTGTACACTGCCCTTCTGATCCCCTGTCCTCTGCCCTACTAACCGCTGTTGTCCACGCTGCTGGACCCTGTCTCCACCCTATCGACTTTTGTCCTCTGCATTGCTGACCCCTGTACACTGTGCTGACCCTATCCTCTGCTGACCAACCAATTCTCTGCCCCCTGACCTTTTTACTGCATCTCCACATGAGGCAGGTTAGGTCCAGTCCTGGAGTCAAATGCCTCAAGCCATTGGGAACTACTAATTTAGAGGTGCAGAATTTGGGACTGACTTGAGGTGTGAAGGTGCAGGGATTAGGGTAATCTGAGGCATAATCATGCAGGAATCGGGGCTGATCTGAGGTGTGATGGTACATGAATAGGGTCTGATCTGAGGTGTGAAGGTGCAGGAATGGGGCTGATCTGAGGTGTGAAGGTGTAGGAATTGGGGACGATCTGAGATGTGAAGGTGCATGAACTGGGGCTGCTCTGAAGTGTGAAGGTACAAGATTTGGGGCTGATCTGAGGTGCGATGTAGCAAAAAATGGGCTGATCTGAGGTCTGAAGATGCAGAAATTAGGGTGATCTGAGGTGTGAAGATGCAGGATTTCGGGTGATCGGAGGTGAGAAGGTGTAGGATTTTGGGCTGATCTGAGGTCTGATGGTGCAGGATTTGAGACGGATCTGACATGAGAAGGTGTAAGAATTAGGGTGATCTGAAGTATGAATGTGCAGGAACTGGGCTTATTTGAAGGTGCAGAAATCGGGTCTCATCTGAGGTTTGATGGTGCAGGAATTGAGGTGATCTGAGGTGTGATGGTGTATGAATTGGGGCTGATCTGAGGTGTGAAGATGCAGGATATTTACTGATCTGAGGTCTGATAGTGCAGGATTTTGGGCTGATCTGAGACGAGATGTAAGAATTAAGGTGAACTGAGGTGTGAAGGTGTAGGAACTGGTCTTATTTGAGATCTGAAGGTGCAGAAATTGGGGCTGGTGTGCGTTTTGATGGTGTAGGAAATGGGGTGATCTAAGGTGTGATGGTGCAGGAATTAAGGCTGATCTGAGGGGGAGATGGTGCAGTAATTGGGGCAAATCTGAGGCATGAAGGTGCAGGAATTGGGGTGATCTTAAGTCTACAGTGCAAGAATTGGTCTGATCTGAGGCGTGAAACTG